ATTAGTTCAAGCGTAACTCTGTGAGGAGTGAAATTCAGGGTAGGGTACAAAAAAGAAAAAAAGATAAACACAGCAAACAGAACTAGGCAAAGCAAAAGAAAATCATGCACCAAACCAGAAGAGGAACCACCACCCAGAAGTCCACCACCAACACCACGAGCTGACCGTTCCTGTAAAAAAAAAAAACAACATTCAGAGTACAATTCCCATAATACAGTTCAGTCCACAATTTAGCAGCAGTATAGTCCAGAATTAAGGCCCATCCTGGGAGGAACCGATCCGCTGTGGCGGACGTCACTCACACAGCACCAAAAGAGTAAGTCCGAGCTGATCGCCAATCAGCCACGCTGGACGAGTGTTAGAAGTCACAGCTTTATGCCGGCCGGGGCGGCAGGTAGGCAGCTGACGGATAACCCAGCTGACAGGCGAACAACGCAGGCGAACAGTCGGCTCAGGACAAACAGCAGCGGCTATCAGAAATAAATATTAGAAACAGAATCTAAAAGCATGCAAAAACTAGCGCTGTGCTTACCACTGAGCTCTTTAAGTAGTGCCTCTTACAGGGAGGAAAGCGTGGGAAGCTTGTACTGGCAGTCCGAAGGACGATTGGTCCACAATCAGTGCCGTTAAGCGCATTGTTTAAGTGCATGCATTCATTTGCAGCTGTTATACAGAAAATGAAAACAAATCAAAAGTAATAAACTTGCTCGAGAGAGAAGAAGCCTGCCTTACCTGGCCTGCAGCACCAACAAACGCAAAGGTCTGAACCGGAAGGAGAACAATGCAATGTCAACCCGGTGAGGGAGGGCCCGTTATATACACAGGCAACCAGCGAGCGCCACAACCAATTAGAATTAGGCACCCGTGTGGTGCGTTCAAAGCCCACCAGGGCATACTGCCACAATTAGATTAGATTCAACTTTATTGTCATTACACAGGTACAGGTACAAGGCAATGAAATGCAGGTTAGGTCTAACCAGAAGTGCAATAGCAGCAAGTGCAGGATAAATAATGGTTCCATGTAGGGTGACCAAACGTCCGTATTTCCCGGGACATATCCGTATTTCACGTCCTGTCCCGGGCGTCCCGGGTTTTTTTTAGAAAGTGAGGAAATGTGCTGATTTCACTGCGCACGACGCTCCGTGTGACGTAATCCCTGAGCCGCGTCAGTGCGGGCAGCCCTGTTCTTAATCAGAGGCTCTGTTCAAAAACCTGGGCTGTATCCTCCAAGGACGCGGTCTACCTGGACTGGATCCTTCGAAGTCCTTGAAAATAAGGAGGCCGGAAGAGTTCTGTCTGTAAATTCGAACATGTCCACCCTAAGGCGGGTTTTACCGCCGTATGCTCTGTTGCTTAGCAACCGTGAAAGTTGACACACAAAGCAGGAAAAGAATGAATACCGAGGTTTTCAAAACTGTTTGTTTATTTATTTATTTTTTTTAAAGTTAAAGTGAACAAAGACTACACTCACAAGAATCCAGAGTGGAATAAAGGTTCCAACCACCGGGAGCAGGAACAGATCAAATCAAATGTAATGATAGAAACCTCAGTCAGTTAAATAACCTGCTGCTGTCATTCTGCACATCTCTGATGTTGCTGCTATTTTCAAATATCCATTATTGTAAAAATGTCCATAGTTGCATATTGGTTATTTATTCTCCAGTTTTATATTGTTAAAACACTTTACAGATTTTTATTTTTTATATTTTAACTCTTCCCTATTATGTTATTCTTATACATTTCTCTAAGGTCCTCATTTGTGTGACAATTTTCAATAATCTTTTGCTGCTGTAAATTTGCCCATTGTGGGACAATAAAGGGATTTTCTATTCTATAAAAGGGTTAGAAATATATAAGTAAATCTAAACAATGTATCTACAAAATATATCTGCAAAATCTCTAATATTCAACAACAAAAAATACTTAGTTAAGCATATTGTGCAAAACAACAATAAAAAAATTAAACTCCTATCAGATTTATAGTTCCCACTCTGCAGATCTATTAGAATCTGTCCTTAAATTACAGCCAAACTCATTTACACAGTAACAGATTAAAACCTTTAGATAAACCAAACATTACCGCCACATATCTGACTGAATAACCATTAAAACAACTATTTTCATTCATTTCAGACGGAACAATTCACAGAGTTGTATTATTATATTAAACTGAACTTCAAATTTTCACAACTGTTCTGCGCCAAGTAACATTTCCTCTGATCACGGAGCAAATCCCGATGATGAGACATTTCAATATCACCCCCCCCCCCCCCCCCCCCCCCCCCCCGCTCCAAGGTGTCCTGGTTTTCCCAAATGAAAATATGGTCACCCTAGTTCCTGTATTCATGGAACTAGGGTGACCATATTTTCATTTGGGAAAACCAGGACACCTTGGAGCGGGGGGGGGGGTGATATTGAAATGTCTCATGGGTTTCTACTGAATAAGTATAGAGATGAATACCATTATAAACAGAAGAAGGAAAAAGTAAACAGTTTTATTGTTACAGTTTACTGTTATTTTTCTATGCAGGTGTAAAACCTTAAAAATAGTTGAGTTGCAATAAATGCAAAACTCTGCAGGTTCTTGTCTTTGTCGTCCGCTCTATTCAGCTGGCCTTGGAAACACACAGCTGAAGGTGGGGGCCGGGGGCGAGAAACGCAAAAGTAACGCAATAGTGACTTTTACTAGTAACTAATTACTTTTGTTGTGGAGTAACTCAGTTACTTTTTGGGAGAAGTAACTAGTAGCTATAACTAATTACTTTTTCAAAGTAACGTGCCCAACACTGGTCACTACCCCATCCGTCCCGGAAGAAAGATCCGTTCTGGGCCGGCGCCATCAGCTGATTTGCGCATGAGCATCCAGATATGCATCCGGGTCGTCCTTGATTTTATTTTGTTAAAAATACCTAAATGATGGAGCCTGAAGGCTGGAGCCATGGATGTCTCCTTATCTGCTAACGTGTATGATGTAATGATGTGATGATGTGGCAGACTGGAGATGTATAAAATGCCTCTTTAACTGTTAATCGCCACTTCCTGAGAGAGGAGCGCGGTTGGTAAGCAGCTGCCTTCTGTAACTCTAAGCAACTTCTCTGATCTGAGTAAGATTACAATTTCAATCAAAATCTGTTCTCATGTCTCCTGGTTATTTAATACATATAAGTTTTGAAGTGTTATTCAAAGAGTTTGTCCCTAGTGATCTCTTTCTTAGGAAAAAGAACCGGAGAGAGAACGCTTCAAGGTGTAGACACAGAGTGACTATCTTTAACAGTACGCTTGCTATTTTTAGGGGGGGGGACATAATTTAGGTCTAATTTACAAAGCAAAATTGAGGGCAAAATGGGGAGTGGTGGCCTAGTGGGTAGAGCATAGAGTTTGGAATCCAGAGGTTCTGAGTTCGAGCCCCACTCCTATGGACTGCCACTCTGGGTCCCTGAGAGAATGACCCTTAGCCCTACACTGCTCCCCGGGCGCTGCACAATGGCAGCCCACTGCTCCCCAAGGGGATTAAATGCAGAGAATAAATTTCTTGCTCAGTGCTTGTGACAGTGGAATGAAAATAAAAGCTTGGAGAAAAAAAAAATGTACATCTAGTTGCCCAAATGAGCTGATGGTACGGATCGGGTAGTGACATGCATCCTTCTTTTAGCTCATTTTGAAGGATGGGTCCGCTGCATTCTCCATAGCCTTCGGTATCCGAGGATTCATTGTGAGTCCAAGCAAGCTGGCTGCTCTGTGCTCAGAGGAAAAAGGGAAACGGTGCTGAATCTGGATCTGATATCTCAGACAACGGTACTGCTGCTGAAGCTCCTCTTCACCTGCTTTGTGTGCAAACTGTAACGGTTGCTTGGTGACTGAGCATACGGGAGGTGAAAGGGGGAAAAGGCTGGACCTGTTTGAATCCATTGCCAAACTCTTCCAAAATTCCTCCTTATTTTCATGGACCTCCGTTGCAGCCTCTGAAATCGAACGCACCCTTGGTCTGAAATCCGTGTATCATTCGTTCTTTCTATTTTCAATTGCCAATCAAAAAACAAAAAATAAAAAATTGACTGGTTATTTTGTTATTTGTTTTTTATGGTTAAACCAAAAACGAAAAAAGGATTTGTTTTTCATATATCAATTCTAAGCTCAGATCAAGAATACGAAATGGAAAAACGGACAGCAACGCAGAATTTGTTTTTAATATTTAATCGGTACAGTTTACGTGACCCGGAAATAGCTCTTTGCGCAGCAGTTGGGGTAATGAAGTGGCTACCATGGCGACGCTAGAACCACACACTATGTTGATCGAGAAGCTGTTTGCTGTTGCTAGTTAAAAGTACAGTGCACAGAAAAGTTTCAAGAAAAAAGATATACCTGGAAAATCCTGCAAATTTTCTCCGTTGTCATGTCCTCCTCAAGAGTCACACGCTTGGATCCTCGAAATAAAACGTAACTGTCCATGGCTGATAGGTCCGACTGCCTTATCTGGTGCAGTTTGATCGAACGTGGTGGGAGTAAGCCAATTGTTTTTTTTAGCTAACGCTCCACCAAACTTCCGGGTCATGTAAACTGTACCGATTAAATATTAAAATCAAATTCTGCGTTGCTGTCCGTTTTTCCATTTCGTATTCTTGATCTGAGCTTAGAATTGAAATATGAAAAACCAATCCTTTTTTCGTTTTTGGTTTAACGATAAAAAACAAAAAACAAAATAACCAGTCAATTTTTGATTTTTTGTTTTTTGATTGGCAATTGAAAATAGAAAGAACGAATGATACACGGATTGTCTGACCTAAGATGGCCACTCTGTCAGTGCACCTCTCACCCGATGACACAGGGTCTAAAGATGTTTATGGTCTGCCCCACTATAGTGTGCACCTCAATGAGTTGCTAATTATTGGGTGGTAGCGACACACTAAACCTAGCTAACAGCGCCTCCGTGTGTCTCCAGCCGACTATTTGTGTTGTTAGAGCAGATTTTCTGATACATTTGTTTTGGGTTTTTTTTTAAGTAAGAGCAGCAGAACTGGCTTTTCTTGCAGAAAGACTGACAGCCGCTCAGAGGAACTCAGAAGGTAAATTCTTCCAGCTAATGTTCATCTAAGGTCAATATCTGACAGAACTCCAACTGGTCCAAACCATTTCTTCCAGCTGAGCTGAAGGTGGCCTTTTCAGTCGGTCTGACTGACTCAGGGATTGTTGGACCATTTGAAGAAGAAACCACTCTTATCTTCTCCAAAACCATCACGAACATTGGCCAAGGCTACAACAGCTCCTCAGGTAATCGGGCCGATCCCTGAAGGAGCTCCTCTTGGTTCTTCTAATTTGAATTGATGAATTAAGGTCTTGTCTGTGCTGCAGGTGTTTTCACCGCTCCTGTTAGAGGACTTTACTTCTTCAGCTTCACGGCTGCAGATTACCAGAAGGGGTACATGGGTCTGTACCTGTACAGGAACCAGCAGCCTGTCCTCTTCAGCCTGGACCTGAACGACCACGGCGGATACACCTCCACAACCAGTGTGGTGGTTCTGCAACTGGAGGGGGGGGACATAGTCCGCCTGGCTTTGCCGGCCAGCTACCGCCTCTATGACGACTCAAGGAGCTTCAGCGTGTTCTCTGGCTTCCTGTTGTTCCCAGTCTGACACCGCCGGTCCACATACAACACATGGACTTCATTAATACTCAAATAAAAAGTTAGAACTTTGATTCAGGTCAGAGAAGAAGGTTTTATGGTGCCATTTTCAACAAACACAGGCTGAGGGGGTGGGAGCCTCTTGGCACATGTGAGTCTCCAAACTTATTAAAACATAACAAAAAATATGGGGTTAGCTTAATCTGGATTAATAGACAGATATAGCTGGGCATCATCAGCATAACAGTGGAAATTAATCCCATGCTGTCTAATAATTCTACCGATTGGGAGTATATATAAAGTTAAGAGAATTGGTCTTAGCACGGATCCCTGTGGTACTCCACAGGTAACCTTTGAGCATGAGGAAGATTTATCATTAACGTGAACAAAATGAAAATCAATCAGATAGATAAGATTTAAACCAGTCTAGAGCTGTTCCTTTAATTCCAACAAAATATTCTAGTCTTTTTAAAAGAATATTATGTTCAACTGTATCAAATGCAGCACTGAGATCTAAAAGGACGAGCACAGATACAAGTCCATTATCTGAGACCATGAGAATATCATTAGTGACTTTCACCAGAGCTGTTTCAGTGCTATGATGAGCTCTAAAGCCAGACTGAAACTCTTCAAAAGTTCATTATGGTGGAAGTGATCAGACACTTGTTTGGTAACTACTTTCTCAAGAATTTTAGATCAGAAAGGAAGATTGGTTCTAGGTCTATAATTGACCAAGTCATCTGGGTCAAGAGACAGTGTCTTAAGGAAAGGTTTAATTCCAGCAACCTTAAAAGCCTTTGGTACATATCCCTTTAACAGAGATAGATTAATCACACCTAAAATGGAGGAGGAGATCAAAGGGAATACCTCCTTAAATAACCTGGTTGGAACTGGATCTAACATCCAAGTTGAAGGCTTAGATGAAGACAATAATTTTGCTAACTCTGAAAGTTCAACTGGATCAAAACAGTCTAAACCCGGTACAGATTCCATGACTACCTCAGATGCTGCCTCACCTTCCAGAGACAAACCAATCATAGAGAGAGGAGTGCTAATGATCTTAGGTTTCATAAGATCAATCTTATTTATAAAAAAATCCATAAAATCATTACTGCAGGTAGAATGGATGTGTTGGGGTATATTCCCACAATGGAGCCCAAATCAATTGGATCAGCCATTTCAAACCATCCCCCTTTTTTTTGCACAAAGAGAACAAACGTCTGGGAACTTCCGCTCAAAGAAACAGTCAGCTCACGCATGGACCAATCAACTCATGAGGAGGCTAAAACTTAAACAGGAAATACCCCTATGTCATTAATGGTGTAAAAGTCAGAGCGCAAGATCCATCTTTCTCTTTCCCTGGGTTTCACCACCTGCGAGGAGAGGCCCATTTCACATGAAATGTTAAAAGAAAGCTAACTGGAAGTAGCTTTCTTTTTCCTGCGTCAAAAGTCACGGATCGCAGTGAAGGTGGGAGACAGAAACCTCCGGAGCTGAACACTGACTGTAGTCCCCCCCCCCTTTGGAGGACCTAGCTACAGACATCACGGCCTACCGGCAGGAGGACCCGCCTGCTTTGATAGTTTCCGTAAGTAAATCTTCCTAGACCTAAAAGCCCATGAAGTCCTCTGCTGTAGCATCAAACTGATTGAAAACTTTCCCGAGAACGGACCCTTGGTGGAGACGGACCCACGTCGAGCTGGAGCCGGACCACGAGTTCCCCCCTTTGCATAGATGTTAGATTTCTGCAATCCTGAATTATTAGAATAAAGACGTTATTGTTTAACTTGTAGTGGTCTTGTAATCCATATAGCGGACGGTTTATCACTCAGGTCAGATTCATCCCCTTTTGGAAACAGTGTGAATACAGAGATAAATACTTCTTTGATTGATAATTAATAGCTCTGCTGATAACCTAGCCTGGGTCACTAGATTGGTGTGGATACCTGGATTTTAACAGCTGGTCCAGGAACCCTTCAGAGGTGAAAGGCATAAACCCTGGTAAGTAAGCAATTAAAGCTACAATTATTCAACTAAGAACACTTAATTGATTTCACCTCCGATTTTGAATAAGTTAAATAATTAACTATAACTCCAGTTCTAGTTAATCATTTATTTATTATCTGCAGGATATCATTTTGCACAACCGATGGTTCAACAGAGCTATGGCTCTGGGTGAGTTTGGCAACTGGATTAAAAAGAAATCTAGGATTATTCTTATTCTCCTCTATTAATGAGGAGAAATATGCTGCTCTTCCTTTACAAGGGGTCTCTTATACAGCAGTAAACAATTTTTCCAGACTAGGTAGGATTTCCGTAGGCCTGTTGAGCGATATTTTCTCTACAGTTTCCTAGCATTTTGCTTCAAAGTGCGCAGCTCTGCATTAAACCAAGGAGCCAGCTTTGTTTTTAATATTTTTCTTTTTCAAATGGGCTATGTTGTCTAAGGCAGTATGCAGAGAACTAGCAACACCATCAACAAAATTATCAACCTGTGAAGGGGAATAAGCTTTTGCACTCTGCAGCACTGCTCAGTGACACAGAGGAGAGAGAAAAAGTGAAAGATTCTTTAAATTTTATAACTGCATTATCTGATAATGATCTGCTAAAGTGAAACCTTCATTTGGGGGAGGAGAACTCTGATAAAGTAATCCTGAAGGTTATTAAAAAGTGGTCAGAGGACAGGGTTGTGAGGAAATACTGCTATTTCCTTACATTCTATGCCATATGTCAGCACATGTCCAAAGTATGAATATGAGAATGTGTGGGGCTATTCACATTTTGAACAAAGCCAATAGCATCTAAGGTAGCATTAAAAGCTACCCTTAAATAAAATATTTGGAAATGGATATAAATAATAAGGATGATCTCGAAAAGCAAAAACGGTTACTAATTTTAAGAACGGAATAGAATAATCTAACATGTAATAGAGCATCAAAAAGTTTACAGTGTTTGAAACAGGCCTATTATGATTAGGGAGAAAAAGATGGCAAATTGTTAGCTTGGAGAATTAAAAAGACACAATTTGAAATAGCCATTAAAAGCATAACTACCAGTCAAGGGGGATATCAAACGATCTTCAAGATATTAATAATACATTTAAAGAATTTTATCAATCACTGTACAGGTCAGAATGCTCCCAGCACCTACTTAAAGAGATACATTTCTTAACCAGCTTCAGTTTAAAATGCTCAGAGGAAGTTAAACAGGCTCTGGATGAGGATATCACGGTGGAAGAGCTTTTGTAGGCCATAAAAAGTATTAACTCAGGCAAAGCTCCAGGGCCTGATGGCTTACCAACATCAACACCAACATAAGATTAGAAGGGTCCTCAACATTCCATTGTACATTGCCCGGACAGCAGCGTGGGGTTAAGGGTCTCGCTCAGTCTGTGGTAATGTGTGCACTGCTAAAACGATCTAGAAATAAGAAAAAATTTCTTAAATTAAGTGTATTTACCGTTGATATAAGCAGGTAAATAAGATGATTTCACAATGGAATGAGTATATTTCCTCCTAAAATAAGATAATTGGATAATATGCACTTGAAATAAGACGATGCAATTGTGTGGCCTAATTTTAAATTGTATTGTTCCATCAGCAAAGTGTCTTACTGACTTCCCCATTCAAGAAATAAGGCACTTATTCTCAGAAAAAATAACCTTATTTAGATTTTTTTTTTTTGCAGTGTGGGACTTGAACTCAGACCCTCTAGGACCCAAGCGCAATAATCTAACCACCAGACCAACACTTCCGCGGTGCGACTCAAAGCTCAGCCGTCCTTTTAAGGCTCTTCCTCTCTGGTAACCTGGTTAAGTTGGGTGGAGCTGTATAGGATATATAAAGTAAAGCATAACTATTTCATGCATTTGACATTAGATACTGGAGTCTTTGTTTTCTTATCTCAAACACAAATGATCTCATTCATTGGAAAATGGTTTTAGCTTTCTACTCAAAACAAGGGGAAAAAACTCTTTATTCAAGAAAATTTGACTTAGTGGAACATGAATCAACTAAAATCAGCTCAGAATGTCTATATTAATCCAAATCAACATTTGGTGCTTTTTCTGTCTAAACTCTGGTTTTCTGAAGGTGTGTTTAGGTTGGAGCACAAAGACAAGATCAGGAAAAACTGGGAAACTTTTATTAAATGTGATAAAAAAAAACAACTGGAAGCAGGACTCAAAAACGTCCCCCAAACTACCCCCGCCAATCCTGTAGTGTCTGCAATAAGAGGTGCTTTAAGGCTCAGATCAGGACGACATGGCAGCCAGTTTGGGTCAGAGTTCAGTAGTGTAACAGCCCACCAACACAATAAATACAGTGTTTTTGATCACTTGTAGAAATCCTGGGATGCTGATGCGGGATCAATTCCATGTCTTTACAGAGTATTGCTCTTTGATCGCTGGCTTACGTCTCTCCATCATTACATCTGAAGCTTTTACAGAATGTTGAGTGTTCTTCTAAAATCATCTAAAACACTTCCAAAACACACAGTCTGACATGGATTCTGGGGACAGCTGAATATCTGGAGGTAGAGTTGTCTTTCACAAGCCAGAGGGTGAGGTCTGCAGAAGCCCATCTCCCCTGGTCACCGTGGAAACTAGTGCAAACACGGAGCCCCGCTGTGCTTTCGGTGTCAATATTCAGGGAGAGGAGTGCTGGGTGAACAGTCGGTGAACTGGAGGTAAAAGAAGCTCCTTCTGCAGGTTATTGGAAAGGTCCTCAGTGGCTAGCAAAGAAGAGCAGGATCCCCATGAAGAGGAGCATGTCAGCATACGGAGCTCAGGGGGAGGTGCTGACCTTCCTGTGAACAGCCTGTAGGAGGAGCAGCGAGTACTCCTCGAGTAGAGCTGCAGTCTTCACCTCTCCCACTCCTCCCAGTCCTCCTTCCAGTCCCTGCATGCTGGGCGTGCTCAGCGGCAGAGAGTCCAGCTCGGCCCTCATGGCCTGGAATGCCTCCGACAGCAGGGTAGACATCTGACACCGGCTGGGGGAGGAGTCATCTATGGAGGAGCCGCTTACCTGGAAAAAGCACAACCAGCATATGAACATGGCCCAAAATGAGTTAATAAGCATCCATTACAGCAGCACTGTGATTGGAGGCATGTCTCCCGCTCGGTGGCTCTGACTGCAGCTGGACATAAAATTATTGGCAGCTTTGTGGAGTTTGGGGTAATGCTACATTCAGACCGCAAGCAGATGAGGCAGCTAGTTTACATGCAAAGTCTATGGTTGACGCACATCAAGGCGGAGCTAAAGGTCCTGCAGCGTCTAGAGCAGCAGGAGCAGCGCATCAGGAGCTTCTGAGCATCCGAGGCTGGAGTTGGAAAAATTGAACTTTAGCTGCTGGACGCTCCACATCAACCAATCAGAGCAGCTGATCTGGCAGCTGGCAGGGAAACAGACACAGCACTGCTGATGCAGAGCGCTATGATCACTCCTC